ATGAGGAGGCTGGCCAGTCCTTTATAGCGCTGGACTGGACTGGCGAGGTCTGAACTCGGCCTCCAAGTGTCTGGGACTCCTGCCCAGTACCTGTTGTTGCAAAGTGTGTGTCCCAGTATCTTTGCCCATGGTCTGCTGCTGCTTTTGGGCCAATGGCCTGTCTTTTGGGCTTCTGGTCTGAATCAGGACTGACTCGTGGGATTATGACTGAACTGGGACTGTGGCTTTTGACTCATTACCGAACAGACACGACTTATCGTCGAGCAGACATGACCCCAACTCAGTCTTGAAATCTGTGTCCTAAACCTGTTCGTCCAGGACCTGCTCGTGACTGTTCAAAACGACTTTTCAGTTCATCATGGATGCGATATTTGCCTCAGGAACTTGTCTTTTGGAATATTGCGCGTGAAATTGAGTTCAGGCCGGGAGGGCCCTTTCCATGCAGGGGTCACTTTTACGAGCCTGAATCGAAAAGGCCCGTTTATTATACCCCTCGGTTCTTTTTCGGATTGCCAATCCAACTTGCTGGGTTTTGTTATCATTTTTGGGTGGTGGTTGGGGGTGTGTGTGGCGGAGGGTGGGACGTTGAGGTGGGTGATTTTTTGGGTGGCCTTGGTTGTGGTTAGGAGAAAACAGGTGGCAAAGTTATATACAGGGCGGGTGGAGTTGTGTTCTTGTTCCGAGGAAGGTATTATGACTACAGAGCTCGACCGAAAATAGAGATCAAGCATTGGAAGGATCCAGCGCCTAAGTTTCCTCCGCTAATTGTGTCTGCACCAGGAGGCTTGACGAAGCTGCAGGCTTATCACATGCGAAAACTTGGACTGAAGTTAGAGGCTCTGTGCAGGCTAAGTATGTTTTCAACAGCGTCCCTCTGCCTGCTCCTCTCTCTCCCCCCCCCCCCCCCCCCCCCCGGAACCCCCTCCCTCACAATCTCTGTTGTTTCACTACGAGCCACCCTCTCATTTTAAACTTTAAGGCCAAATGCTCACAAGGAGAGCGTATTTGGTGACTCGGTGAAACATGTTGGTGCTTTGTTTCTCCGAAAGAAGGAAATCAACAATGCGTTTTCCATCAATCTGTCTGTCAATGATGTTGCATCAGGCCTATGGAGCTTTACGTGTCGTGCTTGCCCTGCCACAGAGAGAGAGAGAGAGAGAGAGAGAGAGAGAGAGAGAGAGAGAGAGAGAGAGAGAGAGAGAGAGAGAGAGAGAGAGAGAGAGA